AGGTGACCTTCACAGGAGAAGATAAGGGCAAATCATGAGGTATACCTCAGAGGACAACCCAGGGACTTCTGACTCATATCCAAAGCAGCTTCCACGGATGCTTGGCCTTGACCTCAGGAAGATTTGATGAGGATGATGTTCTGGATTAGCTTCATTAGACCTTCTGAATAGAAGTGTCTGACTTTCACCTAATGTCCAGTGAGAAGCTAGTGAACACCAGTGGGTTAGGAATCACCCTCTGCCCTCCCCCATTGCTCAAGTGGGGTGTGAGGCTTTGGTTTCTGTCCATAGCATTGTTGTGACCAATGACCTGAGGTGCTGCAGGTCAGATCAAGATGGGTTGTGTTCTCAGACATATTATTTAAAGAAAATAACTGCCTCCAGTTGTCATGAATGAAAGGTAACCTGACAGGGGCTTAAAAGCCACAAGACTCTGTTGACTTACAAGATATTTTACAAAAACAGTAATAAAAATTGTATTTATTGAGACAGTTTAACTACATGGTTAAAACACAGCTCCATCCAGAGGAAGTTCACTGTGGCTCATTGTGCCTCCTAAATGAGCTTGGAGTGATAATTGTAACTGACTTACTAAGGAGGTTGTGAGGATTCAAATGATTAATATAAGTAAAGCCCTTTGACCAGTTCGGGGCACATAGTAAGCCTTCAATAACCATCAGCTTTTATCCTTACCAGGAGACACTGGCTGGCCCTTCACAAATGCTGTCATGAGATCCTTAGAACATACTTTTGAGGTAGGGCATATCTCAGTTCTACAGAGAAGGAAACAGAGGCCACACAGGTAGGAAACAACAGCATGCCGATGGCCTTTGGGGCTGTTTGTCTCTTAAACACTACACTATACCTCTTTCCAAGATGGGGAAGATAACCCAACTTTGAAACCAGGTCAGATGTTTCAGGGTAGAAATGAGAGCAAACCTTTTAAGTTTTGTTTTTCCAGAGAGTATCAGGGTATATCAATCTAGAGGGATGCAGCAGGAAACATGACTGTGAATCAGCTGCCTGATAAAACAGCCAGGATGGAGCCTACGTCACCACGGGACTCAACAATGTCACTGAAAACATCAGCTGCACATTCCCGTATAGATTTCCCTTTAAGACATGAAAGGGGAGTTCAAAGAGAATGGGCTAGCCATCTCAGAAAGTCACATTATGAAAATGTATTTGTTTTTATTAGCTTTTTCGCGTCAATGAGAGTCATTAGCATCTTAACAAAAATTCACTTTTCACTAATTTCTCCTAGTTTATCATCTGAATCTGAAGTGCACAGGATTACATTCAAAGCACACAGTATTAAAGCAGCTTTCAGGACTTCTAAATTTAAATCTAGTCAATTCAGTAAACACTCACTGAGTCCCTTTCATGAGAAAATACTATGAACAAGATGTGTCCTCTGACCTCAAGGAATTTACTGTACCTAGAGCTGCGCTGACCCACACAGTAACCAGCCGCCATATGCAGCTTTTTAAATTTAAATTAATTGAAATGGAAAATTCAGTGCCTCAGATTCACTAGCCACATTTCAAGTGCTCAATGGCCAGATGTGGTTACTGGCTACCGTATCAGATAGGGCAGATATAGAACACTTCCACATTCCAGAAAGTTCTACTAGACAGTGCTGCTTTAGGGAGAGATCTTCTTCAGGAATTATGTTGCCCCGGCTTTGTTGTGAGGGTGTGGCTTCCTGATAGAGCAACTTGTCACCAACAGTACCACCCTCAGGCTTGACATTTGAAGACATAAATTCAGATTCTGCTTCTAACCTATATTAACCTTTGCCCTTGATCCTCCGATGCCAGTTTCTTCACAGATAAAGCAAAGACATCAGACCATAAGATTTTGACAACTCTTTCTGTCCAAATGCTCTGTGATGCTGTGAGTGAATTGGTAGAACATTGTGTGTGTGTGTGTGTGTGTGTGTGTGTGACAACATGCCACAACTAAAAGAAACCACAAAGAAAATTTTCATTGCCCCAGATAATTTTGGTTTTCATATCAGAAATTTAATTTCAGACTCCTTCAAATTTTCAATTCTAAAATTCTATATATACAAGACTAAACTTGCTAAACTGACTTTAAAAATGAGATTATTTTATTACTCATCTTTGTAGAATGTCCCGTTCTCCCTAAAAAAACTTAAATGTGTGTGCGTATGTGTTTAAATATATTCTAACAGTACCTTTTTTATGCTTTCTTGCCCAAGCAGCAAATTGCCAAGTCTCTGTCTCCATAACAGTGTTGTTAAGCGCTCACAAACACTGGGAGCTTGGTCTTGGACTATGGCGCAAGTCTACATATTAGATTCCTCACCAAAAACAAACAAACAAACAAAATGTAGAAAACCCTACATTATTTCTGTCTAGAAAAAAATGGACATTTATTGAGGACCTTCAGTACTTAAGTCCTTCATCTCACAGACTGGTCAGTGACAGATTGGACGATGCCTGTTTGCAAAAGAATAACTGACTAAAGAAAATTTACCATTTTCTTTAACTCTCTGATGTGTGACTACACTTATTGGTATTTCTTAAAGAAATACCAATTCTATTTCCTTTTAAAATAACTATCTTCTTAGTATGATGTCTCTTAGGCCTTGACCTTCTAGAGTTTCTCTTGTACCTGTATTCTTCCTTCCCATATCAGCTTGAAAACTAACAACTTCTTTTATGCTCTTTCTTTTTATCTAGAAGACTGAGAACAGGACTGGGAACCCATTCCCTGGGTATAGAGCCTGAGGCAGGACATTTAGTTCCTGAGGCCCAAGGAGGGTGGTTTTGCAATACCTTGTTTAAATTCAGTTCCTGAGTAAAAAGAGGTCTGGTTCACCCTCTGATGCCCCAAAAGTGCTTCAGCAGTGAGGGGTTTTTAGTGAATGGGGTGGGTTTGCCTGCTTCTCAGCAGCTCAGTAGGAGCCTGGGTCTCTAGTCGGGTCCTTATGATCAGTGCACTGTTCTCACTTCTTCATTTCTCCTGGTAATTGTTGTGGGTCCAGTGGAACTGGAGTTCGACACCTACTCTACCACTTTGGAGAAGTTACTCAGCTTCTTTGAGCCTAAGTGTCCGGGACTGCAAAGTGAGGATAAATAAAACTGTGCTCTCCTACTTTACGAGACAGTCGTGAGCACATGGCAGGCCTGCCGACCCGGCTCCACCTGTGGCTCCTGATGTGGGGAAGAAGTCTGGGCCTAATAAAGTTGGGAAGTGGGGAGGGAATCCAGGGTCTACCACTTTCTAGCTACCTGACTTCTCATAGGTGTACTCGTGTTCAGTTTCCTTTTCAGTAAAATGGGGATTCCAGGTAACTCAGGCTCCGCGAGAGTGAATTTGTTCCTTTAAGACTGCATTATGTCACCAGCCTTCTAACCAATCTTCCTGCTTCCCCCTTCCCCTTACAAGTGATCTTTTGGAAAGACGATCTGATCGCACTATGTCATACCCCTGCTTATAACTCTACAGTGGCTTTTTAGGGCTTTTTAGGGTTTGTCCAGAACACTCTTGATTTGAGCATGGAGAACCCCATGTCCCAGGAAACCTGTTAGTTGGTCTCACTACAAAATCCAGCAGAGCAACTGTTTTGGTCCCCACCCACCTTCCTAGTGCTCATATCTCACCACTCAGCTCTGTTCACCTCTGCGCTTCTCTGAGAAATATTCGATAAAATGCTGATGTGTTGGCCCTGCCACTCGAGCATCTGTTTTCATTGGAGTGGGGCCTGACTGCAGGTGTCTTTTTAAAGCTCTCCAGTGGCTCTGAAGTACAGCCAAGGACCAGAACCATGGCTCTATTTTTGCAGATCTCCAGACACTCCACATACTGTTCCCTGTGCCTGAGCAGACCTTTCCCCTGCTCTCCTCTCATAGGCTAATTCCTGCTCATCTTCATCCTACTCAGGAGTCTCTTCCTCCAGGCAGTCTTTCGGGACCCCTGCAGGTAGACTTAGCTACATTTCTCCACTGGGGACCCAGACTACCCCGGGCTTGCTTTCATCAGAACTCTATCATTCTGTATTATGATTTTGGGTTTACTCAAACACTCTCCATCACTAGATCTTGAATTTCTTTCAGGAAGAGATTTTTTATCTTTCCTCCTTGTATCTCTGGAGCGAAGCAGGCTGTGGCACATTCTAGGATCTTAGTAAGTGTTCGGTGAACAAATTAATCAGGACAAGGCCATCTGACCTCTGATGAGTTACATTCTAAGAAAGAAACATCGACACAAAAACCTTAGTGGATTATTGGAACAAGAACAGATCCAAATACAATATAATACCTTGACAAATCTATAAAAGTGGATAACCCCTAATACTCAAATTAAAAGAAATTCTTAGTTTTGTTCTTTTGTTGGTAGTGGGTTTTTTTTTTTTTTTCTCTTCCAGGGGAGAGAAAAAAAGACACATTAGGAAATTCCTCCTTTAGTAGCATTACCTGTCATAAAGTTATGATTGGAAATGATTCTCTTACTAACTCATTTTGGCCCTCTATTATTTTCTTTCTTCTTCCTTGCTCTTCCCTCAGCTGGCCATCTTGGTTTGTTTGCAGAGAGGCAGGAAGGTTCACTGTTTCTCTCTGTCTTTAAAACTCTTTTATCAGCGGGCTTTCTGATCTTCAAGGCAGCCTGTGTTCAATGTGACCCCACTCCCTTGACTCCCTGTGCTGGGGAGTGAGAGCTGTGAGTATTTTTGTCATTTTGACGACTTGCATATTTGAACGGCCTTGGACAGCCTGATAGTATGGGCCTCACTAAATCTGCAGGATTTAAAGCAAGTCAGCATTTCCTAGTCTCCTTTCACCCGTAAATCTAGACACATTGAAAAATTGACACCAGACTCCCAACTTAAGCAAACAGTACGTTTATAGGTCCCCTCGCATTTGACCCATCCCCTGGGGCAACAGCCCTTACTTATCCTCTTCTCTTTACTGCAGTTGAGTCTTTGCAGTTGGTGTTCCTCAAACTCTCTCAACCTTTGTGATTATCTGCAGTGCTTGATCCTGGACAAGTTTGAAAGCTACGATGATGAAATCCAGCTCACACAACGAGCCCTGTCTCTGCTGGAGGAAAACAGGTTCTGGGCTGGTGTGGTGTTCCCTGACATGTACCCCTGGACCAGCTCCCTACCACCGCACGTGAAGTACAAGATCCGAATGGATATAGATGTGGTGGAGAAAACCAACAAGATCAAAGACAGGTGATGTTTCAGGCAATCTCAGAAGGCCCTGGGCATCCCTGGGGATGTATGAGGCAAGGAGAGGGGCCACCCTTCTCCTCCTAGGGCAGGAAAGACATTTAGAAAGGCATAGAAACACTTTGGTAATCAGTCGGTGAGACCAGGAGAGCTCAGCTGCCTTGTCATCACACCCTCAACTCAGCACTTGTCTCTGGCTGGTCTTTGTGCATCTTGGAGATAGAAACCTCCAGGGACTAAATTATCTTCACATAAGAGATTCTGCAAATAATGTTTCTCCAAAGTCACGGAGAAATTACGTTTGGGACCGAGTAATGGTTTGAGACTGACTCAGCCTCTGTATCAGTAAAATTAAATAAGAGGGAATAAGAAATTCTGTAAAGCTCAAAGTAGAGTCCTTGAATGAAATCAATTACAAGTCACATTGTGGCTAGTATTCATAACTAAATTTAAACTGTGAACTAGAAAATAGAGTCGGATAACTTGGAAAAGATTAAAAGTTTCAAGAGAATGAGTTCTGAGTCACCTTGTGCTTATGAAGTGTGTGCGAGCTGTCCATTCCCATTCACATCTCTGTCCCTCCCTCCGGTTTCTTCTTAGGTACTGGGATTCTGGTCCCCGAGCTGATCCCGTGGAAGATTTCCGATACATCTGGGGAGGATTTGCCTATCTGCAGGACATGGTTGAACAGGGGATCACGAAGAGTCAGGTTGGGGCCGAGGTTCCGGTTGGAATCTACCTCCAGCAGATGCCTTACCCTTGCTTCGTGGATGACTCGTGAGTGGGAGGCTTCCAATCCTGCCCCTCAACAAGTTAATTGAGTGCTCCCCAGGCTTCAGTCTCTTTGGAGAGAAACCCAGGGACTGAGACCAGCTTGGGGAAAACGGAGCTCTGACTGAGAAGTCTGCTTCGCCCGGGCTCTAGGCAGGGCCAGGTGGGCAAGCGAAGTGGCAGGGAGAAAGGAGTTTTTGCTGTGGGTGGAAAAGGGAAGGTAAAAATTGAAGCAAGGGGAGTGAGGTTAGGGGAGGGGACAAAGGCTTTTTAAATTTCCACTACGTAGTGTGTTTGGTATGTGGAAAGGTTCTGGTCAGAGTGTTTGCCCAACGATTGCCAAATCAGCAAACGAGGACTCTGCATCACAAGTAGGCCCGGTTCTTAGGAGCCTCAGAATAAGGCAGCTCATTCCCTAATTAACATTCTCATGATGTATGCTTAATGAAAAGGTAGAGGAATGTGTTGGATGAGCTCAGGCCTTCCCTCCCTATCCACCCCCATCCCCAGGCCTGAACATTTATTGACCAGTAGCAAGCTAAGCAAGTAGCCTACTGTTTTCTGAATGTTCATTTGGAGGGTGGTAGAGAGAGGGACAGAGAGACAGAGGGGCCTGGGAGGGCTCATTTACCATGGCTGATGGGGGCAGAAGTGCTCCCAGGAGAGTGGTGGAAACCTAGAATGGCTTAGGAATTCAACACCTAGAAAAAAACTGGGAAATTCACCACAGTGTACATGTCTGTCTGCGGGGTTCAGGGAGGAGAGAAACATGCACAGCCTGAAGAAAAGAAGGGTCAAATTGCCAGCTGGCAAAACAGTAAAATAAAGCCCAGTATGGACACAGGAAACTCTCTCTCAACATCCTCGTCCAATTGGTTCTCCTTCCTGGGCTCTACAGGAAACTAAAGGGATAGATAGCAGCGGCTGTTCTGCAGTCAGTTTGGGTTTGGACAATAGGCACAGATGGAAAGAGGAGCCAGAGGCCAAAGCCCAGTTCCACTTTTAGGATCAGAACAGGAGCGGCTGGCAGGGAACTGGGCTCAGTGGTAAGGAGCGGCAGAGGGAACTCTGGCTATTCAGTGTGTGAGAGCCCTCTGGTGGCAGGTCCCAAGGTGCAGGCCTTCTGAATTCATGGTTCTCTCTCTAGGGCCATCTTGAGTGAAACCTTCCCACACTATAATTGGGCTCTTCCTGTGACACTCAACAGTTTTTAATAGATGATAATTCCAAAGGCTTTACCAGCACGTCAAGCTGGTAAACATGTATAAAGTTCCCAGTAAAATAATTCTAGATGATCCAATCTGCCCCACTTGCTGGAATGGGAATCCATAGATTTACTCCGCAGGTACACGGATGGTGAATGGAATCAGTGGCTATCCGATCACTGATTGATGTACTGATGGCCTTCAGAAAATGCCACACTGGTTAGTTATTTTTTGCCTCATCCAGCATAACTGGGGTTGATCCTCCAGGGTGCTACACTGGCTGCCCCCTCGGAGATCCCAATTATTGATCTCACCACCACCAGTTTCCCTCGTGGTCTACCTTTTTGAACTTCAGTTAACATACGTTTACCTACTCCAGTCACATGCCACATCAAGTCTGCTGTCCTTTCCTGAGAGATCTTACAAATAGGTATATACTGTGTAGCATACATAGTATGATTTTATTTAGACATTTTACTCATAGAGCATTCATCTGGGATAACCAAAAAGCTACCATCTTGTTCCAAGTGAAAAGTAATCCTTCAGGGCAAAGTGCAATGTATTAAAAGATTCAAGCCCATTAGATGCCCAGTGGAGGTTTTTCTGCCTTTCCCTTTGCCTTAGCTTTGTTCTCTACACATTCATTCAATAAACATTTACTCTACATCTACCAGGCACGGGGCATACTACCATTCTGCTTCTCTCCTCTTACTACAGTTTTATGATCATCCTGAACAGCTTCTCTGTCTTCATGGTGCTGGCCTGGATCTACTCAGTCTCCATGACTGTAAAGAGCATCGTCTTAGAGAAGGAGTTGAGACTGAAGGAGACTTTGAAAAATCAGGGTGTCTCCAACACAGTGATTTGGTGTACTTGGTTCCTGGACAGCTTCTCTATCATGTCAATGAGCATCTTCCTCCTGACAATATTCATCATGGTAAGCCAGATGGAGAAAGCCCAGAAAATCTTGAATAGTTTTGTTTCTCTTACCTTTCCCTCTGTTAATGAACTTGTGCCTGGATTAGGAGCCTGGCCACTAAGGATAGCATGATATGTAGCTGCCCAGCCATTTCAGCCAAAGTGGGAGATACTCGGAGAGACAAAGTCTCCCCCACGGTGCTGCTGTATCATAGCATCTTCTCTATTCCCACTTCCTGCCCAGGGAACCACAGTCTACATAGATTACCCAACCCCTTTCCATGAAGTCTCTGGAGAGGCTGCTATTCGCAGTACCCAGCATAGGGTGATTGTATGTGCAAATGGTTCTTTCTTTACAAACATGGAAGAAATGAGTGTCTTCTTGGGATTACTGTTCCAACCACCAGCTGGGGTAAGAATGTGGAAAGCCTTTTCAGTGTATTGGGAGAGGAGACCAGGACTGTTTATTAATTATCTTCATGGTCTCACCACTCATGGCTTGACCACTGAACATTCTGCTGCCTGAAGAATCTCCAAGACCTCTCTGTTTCCAAGAATGGAATTTGGAGTCTATCCTTTCTCAGTGATGGGAGTTTTACAGCCTCAGACAGCATGCACAAGCCCATCCTCTGCAAACTTGCAGCTTCCTCACAAGCTAGACTTGGAAATAAGACATTATTTCGTTATTTCACAATTACTCAGATTTTACACTGCTATCCTTTGTTTTTAGTTCCTTGACAGTAGATGACTTTTTGTACTTGTTAAATGATAAATGATAAATTTAGGTAGTTTTGATATTTATTTGATGGGATTTGGTATAAGTTTTAGACTTCGGGCTTTACAACTCCTGATACAGTGTCGCCAAGCTTGTTCTGTCTCTTTACCATCATCTATTAAGTGACCCTTTGCACTAGGCATCACGTGTGCTGACCCAGAGATTCTGGTTAAATATGTGACATGCATGTTGGACCATCTCTAGTGCCTATCTGACCCAGGAATGGTCCATCATATCCTGTCCAACTAACACGTATCTGTTTAAACCAAATCTTTCCCCTTCTCTTTGCAGTAAAATGTACTAAGTCCGAGGGCTTTTGATTTTAGTGTTGCACTGTGATCCAGTGCTAGACCCTTTCAAAACCAATGATGATGTGGAGGTCATTCTGCTCAACCTGACCCAACCCAGATGCGGCTTTAAATATGCTAAGGGTCCCAGAGCTCCACAGAGATGAGGGGAGAAGCCGAGTACCTTGTCTTCCTCTAAGGGTTTCTTGTTCCTTCCCATCCTTCAGTCTGATACTTTCCTACTACCAAGACATCTGTGTCCTCAGAACTAAAGAAGTCAAAATGCATGAACATCGGAGTTACTCAAAATGCATAAACATGCACAACATTTTACAATGGCCATGACACTCGTTGCTGACAAATGACATTGATATCTCCTTTCCTAAGAATGAGCATTAGGACTTCAAAGCTTTTAGGACGTGAGGTAAAGAATGTTCACCAAGAATTTCTTGTACAAAAGGGTTTCTCCTTGTGGGAACCAGAACATTGTTCTAGTAATGACGGAAACAGAGCTTTCCACACCAAAATAGGATTTTCCTTTGAATGACGCTCCCATTTTTCCCTTGTCCTTCCTTCCCACCTCAACTGTGCAGGAAAGAAGCTGGAAGCTGATACAATGGGAAGGTTCCCTTGTTATTCAAGCTATTGAGAACAAAAAGAAAAGTGGTCCTTAGAGAAAGCCAAGGACACTGAAATTGTTGGGTCTGTCAAGTGGATTTCATCTCTGCTTTAAGTCAATAAGAAATTATACACCCCTAGAGGTTTGGAGGACTTTGCTTTGAACTGAGATTAGGAATTGATTTTATTCTTCCGAGAATAGTAACAACCATCTTTAAATTCTTCTAGCCAAAAGTCACAGGTTCAGTTGTGGACTTGCTTTTATTGAGTTGCGTGTGATTAAGGAAAAGGAATGAGCTTTCCAGGGTGATATGGAGACTTCTTTGCACAAAATCAGAAGTTCTGAGTCTTAATCATTATTTAAATTTCTTCAAAGTTTGGTTCTAGTCAAGCATGGCTCTCTCCCACTTCTCTTCAACGTTTGTTTTATTCTGTTTTTTAATCTGTTCTATCAGTGCTCAGCTGACATGAGAGCATGAATGGAGGAGAAATGGTAGCAATAGCAGATAAGCAGCACATTTGTTCTTCTCAACTCAAAAACACCCAGGACAGATAGTGCTAATTGGTCTTTCTTTTTGACTAAGAACCGAGTGCTGCAGGGCACCATAACTAATTAATTCGAACCAATTCAAGAGATGAACCTTATTTGTAGCTTTATGTTTCCAAGAAAAGGTGACCTATATGTATCTGGAGTTATGTGCAAAGGGTAAAAATCCTCATAGGATGCCTTAGCAAAGGAGAACCAAGAAGGTCTAATCAAGTCAAACATCTTAATTTATTCTATAATGTCATTTGGCTGCAGCTCTTTAAAAATAACTAGTTTGGTCCTATTTCCTACATAGCCAAAGTGATTGAATCATGAGTTAATGTGAAAGACACTGAGTATTACTGGATTCTATGAAATGTATTTGTATGATATAATAGAATAGGGGATTAATATACTTCCAAGTGATATGGATTAATTACTGATATTCTGACTTACATGAGTGGCAAATCTCAGAATACAAGCACAAATGATTGAGTCAGCAGGCCAGGCCCCAGCTTGTTGGGTGGTCTCCCATCTCCCTTTTTTGTTACTCATCTATTCAGTATATCCCAGAGCTGTTGATTCTATAAGACCTGCTATGCAGATTTTTCTCCTCTACTCAAATTCCACCAAGGATTTGCTTACATAATAATTACTTGGTACTAATAATGCATTACTGTCCTAGAGAAAATGACATTCATAGGATTTAAATATGGAAATTTAGGCACCAGCAACAGACTGGTAGGAAAGATCTCTCTGGAGCAGAAGGCTTCTGAGGGCCCCAGAATCACTGCACAGAGGTCACCTCCTGAGAGGGATGGTGTCCTGGATGTGAGTGGAAATTACTGACTCAAGTCTCCTCTTTGGTTTCAGCATGGGAGGATCCTACATTATAGCAACCCATTCATCCTCTTCCTGTTCCTGTTGGCTTTCTCCACCGCTACGATCATGCAGTGCTTCCTGCTCAGCACCTTCTTCTCCAGAGCCAGCCTGGCAGCAGCCTGCAGTGGTGTCATCTACTTCACCCTTTACCTGCCTCACATTCTCTGCTTCGCCTGGCAGGACCGAATGACGGCCGATCTCAAGATGGCTGTGGTGAGGGACCTTGGGCTCACCCCTGGTGCCTGATACAATTCCTCTGAGGGGTCTGTAGCATTCTGAGAGGACTGGCCCACCCTCTGAAGGACTCCTTTTGGCTCGAAGGGACATAAAGTTTAAAGGCATAGGGGCAAAAGTGGAAGTGACCTGACAGTTCCTCTTCACCAAACCAGCTTGATTAGTCTGCCCTAGGAAGTCATCGAACACCAGTTCAGCTCATAGATCCCTTTGTGTATTCACAAGAGGAAAACATCAGGCTTATTTCACTCAGTTTTCTTTTCCTAGTGTTTGAGAACACTCAGAAAGAAGAGAGCTTGCCCCACTAACTGTTCTGTCCAGAAAGATGTTTCCATGAATTAAAAGTTTTTGCTTCTCTCCAAAAGAACTTCAGCTGGAGCAGCTCTGCAAATGTCCTTAACATGCTCTACCAGCGCACACAGAAAGGGGTGCAGAAATGAGCCAGTTCAGAGTCAGGCCCCCTTGCCCAGAGAGGTGTCCGGAAACTGACTTTTGATTGCCTGAGACACTTCTTGGTTTATGATTCCCAAACACCACTGTCTTTTTCTCTAATTGTTTTCAGATAGACCATTCTACCCTCTCATTAACCAGGCTAAAGAGCTTCTGGGCCCTGAAGTTTTTCTTTTCTCCAGAATCTCCCTGCCCACAGTTCTCCGTGTGGTGGAATAGAGAGAGAACTACCACCTGCTTCTCGTTGGGGAAAGAGCTGAGGTCAAAGTTGTTCTCATAATTCAGACTTATTTGGCTTCAGAGCTGCCAGGGCATCTGCCTTTTATTTTTCATGTTAAATAATAAACTAATTATTGCTATTTACAGCATCCAATTTTCTAAAATGATCACCATGGTCTAGTAGCAAGAAATCCTTCTGACTCAGCCTGAGGGCACAGCTGGACAATCTTGGTATCTGGGTAGATGGTCAGTACTTTGGGTGTGTAGATCCACCAGGAAGCTATCGTTCTGACCACCATGTGGACCAGGGCTAGGCTGAGATTTTTTAAATGTTTTTTGTGAATATGTAGCCAAAGAATCCCTTCTTTTTGCAGAGAGACACTCTGAACCCCACCTTGGGTCCACCAGACTATGGGGAGGCCTTTGAGCAAAAGAAATGGGTATAGCTCATCCCTCTGCTTGTGCTTATGTGCTTCCTGTCAGGTCAGGGGCCATCCATGAGGACTTGGCTGGGGAACTTCCCTTTCAGACATCTTTTTGTACACTATCTTTTCAGTTGACTTGTGTTCTCTATAGAGAACCTAAGAAAATGATGGACCCCAGTCTGGAGATGAGAAAAGATGACAGTTGATGTAATCTGAGGTTCTTCTGGTTTCTTTGACAGACTCAGGGGCTCATGAGACCATCCCCTGCCTGACCCTCTAGCCTACCCTAGGAAACTAATGACTTTGCAGACCCTTCTAAAGGGATTCTCACAAAACAATTCAAGTTAGATTTTTTGTTCTACCAAGAACTTTGTGATCTTGAGAAAGAGGTAGGAAGAAAGGGGGAAAGGGAGTAAACACGAGGACCTTTGGTCCTTCAGTGTGTTATGCTGTGTTGTATTTGTCTTCTTCATTACAGAACTTGTTTCATTGAACAGGTGAGAGGGGTGGCTCACTGGGTGGTGGGCAGGGGTCTCTGAGACCTGAAAGGCATTCCTAGAATTCTCGTACTGTGGGTAGGACTGCTGTAATCCCTCCCTGGGGTGGCTTTACACCTGAATGTAATGTAGACCCTCTTTTGGCCCTCGTCCCTACCTCCTGAGCATCTAGGTGCTATTGGGTTGGGGAAGAAACCCTCTGCTCATCTCGTACACCCTCTTTGCCCCACTGCAGAGCCTGCTGTCTCCTGTGGCATTTGGGTTTGGCACTGAGTACCTGGCTCGCTTTGAGGAGCAAGGCCTGGGGCTGCAGTGGAGCAATATTGGGAATAGTCCCATGGAAGGGGATGAATTCAGTTTCCTGATGTCCATGAAGATGATGCTTCTCGATGCTGCTCTGTATGGCTTTCTTGCCTGGTACCTTGACCAGGTGTTTCCAGGTAAGTGTCCATCTTCATAGGGTAGAGGTATTTGGGTTCCTCAGATCCCCAGCCCTCTCTCTTTCATCTAGTTTAAATCTCATAATTGCTTTCTAAGCTCTTTCAATCTGTGGATTTCAAACTAAAATCCAAGAGTCAAAAATCTTTCAATGAATTCTGTTGGCTGCACATTAGAAATAGATCCAGAATCTGATCCCTTGTCACCACCTTTACACAGCCTTTTCAATCCAAGCCCCCTTCTTCCACTATCACCTCCTACCTAGACTGTTCTCCCCACTGTATTCAGAGATCCTTTCAGAATCTAGCTCAGATAGCGTCAACCTTCTGTTCAAGTCCCTCCAGTAGCTTTTCCTCTTGTTCAGAATAAAATCCATTCCCCAATCCTGGCCTACAAAATGCTTCATTATTGGCCTCCAATTATCTTTCTCATCTCCTCTCCCCCAATGTTTCTCTGCTCCAGCCATACCAGCCTCCTTCCTGACAGTTCATTTCCTCCTCAGGACCTTTGCACCAGCTGTTCTCACTGCCTAGAGCATGTTTCTACACATAGACACACACAAACACACACACACATCATAGACTTGTTCTCTCACTTTGTTCAGATCTCTGTTCAAATATCATCCTATTGCTGGGATTTTTCCAAACTGAAAATATCTAAATATCTATCCCTATATAAATAACATTCTTTTAGTGTTCCTGTCCCTTATCCTATTTTTTTTTTTAAATCACCATCTGACGTGATATTTCTTTAAGTGTTTGTTTATTAACTCTCTATGCCTTGTAAAATCTGAGCCCATAAGATCAGGCCCATGGTCTGTTTTGTTCATTGTTATAGTCTCAGTACCCAAAAGAGTGCCTGACTTTTGGTGGATAAATAACTGATTAATCTGCGGCACAAAAACATCAACTCTTGAATAAAAATCAGCTGCTTGCACACTTTTGTATTCGCTTTGTAGAAACCAGATTTTCCTTCAAATTAGTCTTTCCTGGTAGCTAGCGAAGTTCCACCTCCATCTGAGTGGTCTCCAAGTCAACCAACAGCCACTGTGTGCTATGGCATCCACAGCCTTGCTCTCGATGCTGTGGTCAGGGGAGCGTAAGGCTGGCCCTGGTCCCTGGGAAGCGATGAACTCACAGCTCTCAGCTCATCTCAGGGCAGCTTTTGCTGGAAGAAATATATAGGCAGCAAGCCTGGAATAGGAAAAAGATCCCAATGCTGAGTCAAGAAGCCTGGGTTTGGATTGTAGCTGTGCGACTATATCAGTTTCCTAGGATTGCCATAACAAAGTACCACAAACCGTGTGGTTTAAAACAATAGACATTATCTCACAGTTCCAGAGGCTAGAAGTCCAAAGTCAGCAGAGCCGTACTTCCTCTGAACGCTTTAAGGGAGGATCCTTCCTTGCCTCTGCCTAGCTTCTGGTGGTTTTTCAGTAATCTTTGGCATTCCTTGGATTGTAGATGTGTCACTCCAATCCTCCATCTTTACGTGGCATTCTCCCTGTGTCTGGCCATCTTCACGTGGTCATCTTGTTAGAACACCAGTCATACTGGGTTAGGGAGGGGCCCATTCTACTCGTGTGACTTAATCTCAACTAATCACATCTGCAATGACTCTATTTCCAAAAAAAGCTAAAATTCTGATGTCCCTGGGGTTAGGACACCGTTGTCTTTTTTTTTTTTTTTTTGATACCAAATACATCATTTTTTCCAACACCAACCAATTCTCCCATATCAACTGGTAACCAATGATTCAATTCAATTCTGACAATAACTACCCAGAATTAGTGCAAACCCCACAAGTTCAGTCCCATAAGACTACTCTCACCTTACATGCCAGCCTCAAATGTGGTGTCCAGCCTACTCATACTTTTGTTTGGCTGACTGAAAATTCAGCGGTTCTCACATCCCCCCTCAGGTTCAATAACTCACTCGAACAACTCACAGAACTCGGGAAAGTGGTCTACTTACAATTACCACTTTATAATAAGGAATACTACTCAAGAACAGCCAAATGGAAGAGATGCATTGGGCACAGTACAGGAACATCCCTACCCTCCCCAGGTGCAGGACCCACCCAGCAAAGTTCAAGATTTTTAGGAGCTCTGTGCCAGAAACTGAGGACAAAGACCAAGTATATTTTGTACTCTACCACAGACCTCAACATGTCATTTTTTTGAGAGGGGAGGGGTGGTGAACACATTTCAACCCCTAACAGTGACTTTGAACAGTACATTTGACCTTTCTCAGCCTCAGTTTTTTCTATCTTACTGGGCCATTAGATGGAGATATAATAAGTGAAAATTAGTTGGACTGAGAATTAAATTTGTACATAACATAATTCAAGAGCTTTACGTTAGCCAAGCTAAAACTTTGCTTTGTTCAACAACTATTTACTGAGCAGCACTTATGTGTTAGGCTCAGCACCAAGTTCTGGCAAAAGAGGGGAGGGAAAGACAGACCCAGGTCTGCCCTTACGGAGATTACAGTCTAGCAGGGGCCATGAAACACGGGCTAACTATTAAATAAGCAAAGACAGTGTTCTCACAAAATCAACATTTCACAGGTGGAAAAGCTGGCTAAGAGAACTGGACTAGAAATTTGGGAGTCTTTTCCTTGAAACCCAGAGGATTCCAGCAGGTGGGGTAGTTAGATCAGTGGTATTAGAATCAGATTACCTGTGTTATAATTTAGGCATCTCTGTTTAATTAGCTGTTACCTTGGGAGATGATTCAAACTCAATGTGCCTCACTTTCCTTATCCACATGAATACTACTACTACCTATCTTCTAGACTTGTTTTTGAGGATTAAAGTGTTTGACGCATGGAAAGCACAGTAATACACAGAAAGAGCATCTAACAAATGTTAATGATTATCATCATTATTAACATCTGGTAATTGTTGAAAAAGGCATGATTAAATTCTTTAATAAAATGTTGTCTTAGAAAAGTGATGTCAGACAAGATCATCAGTCTTAGTATTGCTGGTTCCACCTGAAAAACATGACCTTTTAGATTAAAATATTTTGGAAAGAATAGTCTTTATGGTATCCCATGGGTCACTGTTTAATGGCTTCTGAACTATAAATATCTATAGTGACAGTTTAAGGTTCAGATAGGTAAATTCTAGATATCATAGACCTGGGATAAGGCAGAATGACTTAGGCTTTTTCTGTTTATTTTTCTGTTTATTTTTTAGGGGACTATGGAACCCCACTTCCTTGGTATTTCCTACTCCAAGAGTCCTATTGGCTTGGCGGCGAAGGTGAGTTTTTAAAAATTAAAACATTTTTTAAATTCCCAAAACTTTAATGTTTAAAACTAGCTTCTTTGGCTACGCATGGGATATATGTGGGCTATAGATTTGGCTCTTATGTCTGATTACTCCTCTGCCTCTTGGGAGCTCGGCCACCATACAGCCTCCGGGAACCTACATTTTGTGAGTAGCCGGGCCAGGGCGAGGGTCTGAGCATTGATAACCCCTGTGTCCTATACAGCTTAAGCTCAGTGGATTAAATTGCCCTAGTAAAAGGAAGCCAAACCACTTCAGGGTTCGAATGACTTTTGCAGCTTCTCAATTTAAAGCAAAGAGATACACAGAATCCTAAAGGAATCTTTGCATTTATCTTCTGCCTCCTCTTCTGTTTTTTTATTCCTCTCCACCTTTTCAAAATGTAAACTAATGTATCCTCTGAAGGTAAGGACCCAGCCAGAGGCTGGGACAGAACTGTGGTCTTCATGGCAAATTCTCCCAGGCTCTCCTAGCTTTGAGCTTTATGGTGCTTGGGGAAGAGAGCTAAAAGGGCATTTGTCCAGAATGCATCTTAGATAAAATTTACCTTTCCTACTAAATAGGACAAGAGGCTGAGGGAGAGTTCTAGAAGTGGGAGAAAACCACAGATTCTTCTGTGAAGTGTGAGAAGGCAGAGAAATTCCTGACCTGAGACCCAGGGACTCTCCTGAAGCTGGGAGGTTCAGGCAACAAAGGAAATACTTTCCAATCTGTTCGTTCCTCGTCTACCTGCTTTTTTCTTTGTATCATTGGGCTGGGGCCAGGATTTATCCTTTAAGCATGAAGATAGATGTTTGTTTTCTCTAGAGGATTAACCCAGGGCCTTCAATAGGCTTGGGTGGGTTCGGGTATTTTTTGCCTTCTCTTTCTTTTTTTTTTTTTTTTTAATGATTTAAACAAATAGCACTTCAACAGCTTAGTACTTTTCCATTAAGTTGGTTTGCCATGTCTATTTATAAACTTTTGAATTTCTTCTATAATAAAGTTATAATCCATCATAAATGGGAATTTTCAACACAGGAGTATATTCCTTGTGGGCATTTTTTCCCTCTATAATCTCAGCAGATACTCTGCCTCTCAAAAAAATATCTTAAGACAAATGTGTTCCTTCAAAAATGAATCACATATTTTTGCCAACAGAAGCCAAATATTTTTCACCTGCCTCACAGGCTAGACTGAAATAGATTCCTAAATTTCTATAAAATCAGAAAAGAGCTGAGTTTCTCCGCCTAACCCCTCCTTTCACAGACGAAGAAGTGGAGCCCAAGATTCACCCAGTGTCTGACCAATTTCCCACTCGTCACGTGGGACAAAATCTGGAACCGGGACCCATATTTCCTGATAAAGAACTCACTTCAATGACTAAACTATTTAGAAGAATTTTTCTCCCTGCTATGTTATTACACATTATTACAGTATGATGGCTAATAAAGTGATCAAAAGAGTTGTAGGCAATAGATTTAAAAATCCTTCAGGAAGCATAAGTGGAAGTGCTGGAGGTGACGGGTCCCTGACCACTAGGCTTGTTACTTTCTGCACCAGCACACCTCCTACAAATCTACAGAGGGTGGCGTGGACAGAGAGGAGCCCTGGCTGGCTGCTGCATTAAAAACTCACCCTACTCAAGTGGGTGCGCTTGACACCAGAGCCTTTAAATGCCTAGTGACAGTGATTTCCTCCTGCCCTGCTGTCCTCTCTGGCTGGCTTACTCTCCTGCTTCTCTTCCTCTTCCAAGATGTCCTGATGTCCTTTTAAACCAATGCCAAGGTTACCAAAAAATGTCTATGTGTGTGTGTGTGTGTATGCGTGCGTGTGTTTGTGTGTAGGTGTGGTTGTGGTGTGTGAGAGTATACGTGAGTGTGAAAATACGTGTGTGTGTGTGTTTATACTATACTTCACAATTTGTGCAAGCCTAGACCTCAACCAGGCTCAACTCTGATGTTAATCTCAAAATATTTGAATGTTCACAAAAGTAGATTTCTCAGGTAAATCATTTCTCGATCTGTAAATTAAGCTGGCTGTCCATATATCACTTTGAACGGACTTTGAAATGTTTAGGATTGGAGTGATAAGTACTATTGGTAAGCTAAAAGAAATTAACCCACTTCAAATTCAATCCTGGTTTTGTGAAATTTTTTAAAATCACAATTTCTGACATTGTGGCCCCCTCCTGGCACTGAAACTCCCGTTACAAAACTCCCTCTGGGCTCAGCCAAGGTCACACAATCTGGCCTGCTGGGGGCACCGCCGGCCACTTTCAGAACCTCACAGACCCACAGGTCAGAGGTTGGCAGGGCCGTGCTTGAGGCTGGTCCCTGGGAATGCTGACTTGGCCTTTCGAGGGAACTGTGTTTTCCAGTTACAGTAGGAAACCCTACTGCCCCCTTTCTGCCCTCCTTTCCTGCCTTTACTGATTCACAGTTCTCACCAGGAGAGTAACAGTGGCTTCTAATTAATTGGTGCAGGGTGTTCAACCAGACAAGAAAGGGCCCTGGAAAAGACGGAACCCATAACAGAGGAAATGGAGGACCCGGAACACCCGGAAGGAATATATGGTAAAAACCTCAGTAAATAGCACAGAGGCAGAGAAAAGGCCCAGGATGCTACAAAGGGCCCGAGCAAAATACCTCAGGACTGGGGTGAAATGGAACCCAGGAAACTGACTCTCTCTGTTGACAGGGATTAAACCTGATAGTTTCTCTAGGGTCCAGCTGCACGTGTGTAGAATGAATGGTCCAGCCAGACATTAACGCATATTTCCTGGAGAAAGCAGATACCAAGTATATGATGCATTTGTGACCTTGTTAGGCAAATCTCAAGTGAGTTGTACAAATGTGCTGACTTCCGAGGATTTAGCAAGAACAATAACTTGGGTCACTGGGACTTAAGGAGGATGTGAGCTATAAGGAAAGACAAAAATAAATGCTTCTATGTACAGGGGAAAGAGAGTATAGTATTGCTGACTTCACTTCACTTGTGACTTACAAATCTAGAAGCCCATTCATTCAAGCCATCAAAAGCCTTTCCTAACCATGGAGCTTACCTACTGATTCCTGAACTGAGGAACAAGGTTTGCAAATGTTTCTCTGGCCTTGTTTTCCTTACCTTCTCTCTTGAATCAGTTCTGTATTTCTCCCCATGTTCTCCATTCCTGAAGCATATGCATCTCTCTGAGGATGCTAAGATGCTCTTGCTATCCTCACCCTGCGTTTAGAGAAGCAGCCTGGCCTCTGGACTTTGCCAATGTTGCATGAGGGGGTCCAGCCTCTGTGTCTCTGGCCCACTCCAGGTGTCATTTCACAAAGCTGAGGTCAGCGACCGGCAGCTCTGCAGAGAGGTGGTTTGCAGCCAGCAGTGTCTCTGGGAGGACCCTCCTCCCAGTGTGGAATTCCAAGGCCGAAATCAGGAGGCTGGGTCTGGTCCCAACTCATTCACAGGCAAGGCCAGGAGGCACAGAGAGAAGCATTGGGATTTTTTTTTGCATGGGAGTACATACTCAGAACTATAATATTAAGACAACAAATCAAGTAGTGCTGTGTAGGGGAACTAGAGCAGGGAGAGGTGGGAGGCCAGGGAAAGGTGGACACCATGGTAATGAGAGCCTGCAGTGGAGGGGACTGTGGGGACAGAAAAGTAAAGGGGTTGAGTTTGAGGGACAGTGATGAGGAAGAGTAAACTGTCCTACCCGCTTAATTGGAGAAACTCTGGAATCTGAGGAGCAGATTCAAAGGTTTGAGCCAAAGTGACTAGAAGAATGATGGCTCCACATATGGACATGAGGGAGTCTAAAGGAAAGTGTTTGGGAAGGAAGATGAAGGGCTCGAGCGGCTACCAGAAATCCATGAAGAAATACCTCACAGACTACTGAAAATGAAGGCCTGGGTCCGAAGATCGAGCTTGGGGCCAACTCTCCATATAGACAGTGAATGCACACTGCGTTTGAGTTCCAGCTCTGCCACTCACGAACCTCATGATCTTGATTGGACACTTGATATCTCTGTGTCTTAGGTTTCCTCACCTAGAGAAATAGGCTTAATAGTATCTACCCCATAGAGCTGTTAAAAGGGTGAAATGAGATAATCTGTATAAAGCGCCCGCAATAGTACCTGACACATAGTAACTGCTCAACAGATGTTAGGTACTATTACTATTACCATTATTATCCTGTAGTCATCCGGACAAAGGTCATAGCTGAAGCTATGGGGGCAGGTGAAATTATAGGCAAAACACAGGATCTAAAGAAAGGATTTTGGAGAACTTGTACATTTAGAAGTCATATTTACCTCATGTTCATTTTTTCCCTCCAAGACTCCTTCTTTGAACGTGAGCTTCCAGGCTCGGTTCCTGGGGTATGTGTGAAGAATCTGGTAAAGGTTTTTGAGCCCTACGGCAGGCCAGCTGTGGACCGTCTTAACATTACCTTCTATGAGAACCAGATCACCGCATTCCTTGGTCACAACGGAGCAGGGAAAACCACCACCTTGTGAGTCTTCAGGAAAAGAGGATGGATTGCCACTTCATTCTGTCATTTCCTGGCACTATCCTTTTTCTATTAGCTGTAGTCTACCCTTTCCCACTGAATTTTAGTGACAAAAATGTGCTCTATATTTGTGTCTCAGGAATGAGTAAAGCGTGCTGCAGTATTCAATGCTCACTCACATATATTGTTTCATTTGATTCTCACAAGAAGTCGGAGAGGGAGTTGCAGTACATTTATTGCCCGCCTTGTGTGCCAGGGAAGTGGACATCCAGAGAGCTGCAGTGACCTTCCCGAGGCCCCAAGTCATAATGGTTCAGTGGGGGCAAGAGGCAGGTCCTCCCACAATTGTTTCTGGTCTCTGACATTGGGAGCCCATCCTCCCGCCCCCATCCCACCTCTCCAGCATTACTGTCACTGATGGAGGTGGTAAAGTCTTGGTCATCACTGCCATATGCCCTCAGTCTATAAAATTCTACTTATTTTCAGAGAGTACTCCTTTTCCTACCTGTGAGAGTTGGCGGTAGTTCTAGAGAAAAGGGTGCAGTCTCTAGAGAACTAACAGCCTGGTGACTGAAGGCCAAGTTCAGGGAAGATGAAGGCATACACTGCTCAGCTCAGGAAGCTCCCTCACTTTTCTAAGGGACTTGGGCGCCAGCTGCTGAGAAGGAGAATACAGACGGCTAGGGTTCTCCAAGGAGCAGCTGAGGCAGCCCTCTCGAGGAGCAGGGAACCCATGTGACACGCAGGCTCAAGTCCTTTGGCTCCTTTCAGAGCCTCAGGAAGGAACGGCAGTGCACGCCCTGCGCTGGAATGTTCTCTGAGGGCGGGTTGGTGTGAATGGAATGTGGGGCTGGCGCCATTCTATTTGGTTCTGTTTCCCTCTAGTGGTTCATCAACAGAAATGTCAGCTTCTAAGTACAAATTCGGAGAGCCTGAGATTGTATCTGAACTCAGGGACAGAGCTGGGTGGAGCAGCACTAGATCCATCTCATTTCTCTCCTTTTTAACTAATATGGTCAGAAGGCCTGAAGCTCCATCCAAGACCCCTGGTTTTCTCACGGGCAAACATACTACTTCATCGACTGCTGAAATGCAACTTCCCCGGGAGGTTGAAATACAATGTTTAATAAAAATAATATTTTTGAATTTTACTTTAAACGGGCACTGTGCTGTTTCTTAAGTATTAAACTCATTTCGTTCTCACAACAACCCCATGAGGTGAGAATTATTATTTCTCATTTTATAAAAAAAAAGAAGAAGAAGAAGAAAAAAACCAGCATAGCTACTGGGCTCCTTATGTTCTGGATCCAAAGATGATATTGTTGCTGGTAATTCTCATGCCTGGCTTCAATCAATTCATTGACAAGTACATATTGAGTGCCTGGGCTTCTCATTAAGACCCTTCCTCAAAACTTTGTCATGGCGACATCAGGCAAAGCATTGACCCATGCACTGAACACCTTTTATTGAGTCTCGAGAGCACCAGGAATTGTGATGGCTGAGTTGGGGACGGATCTTCAGCTGTCAGTGAATGTTCTGCAGCAGGGAATCCTGGAGGCCCCTGGGTGCTTGCCTGGGAGCACGAGGAAATAAGTAGAAGCAGAGAAGGAAAGCAGATGTGCTCATCTGCATTATGGCCTGAGTGTGCACAGTGGTGCTAAGCCCTGTATGAGAAACTGTTGGTTCCCCGCAGCTAGTGATAGTTTGGGTTTGATTGGGCAGGAATCACTGTGAGAGTGGGGGCTGCCATCCCGAGGCGCTCCTAAAGGCCATCCTTTCTGCCACTGACTTCTGTGTTTGGCAGGTCCATCCTGACGGGTCTATTGCCGCCGACATCGGGGACCGTGCTCATTGGGGGAAAGGACATTGAAACCAGCCTGGATGCAGTACGGCAGAGCCTCGGCCTGTGTCCCCAGCACAACATCTTGTTCCACCAGTAAGTGGAAAGGGATTTGACACCTTCCCCAAGCCTTATCCTCAACCTGCCCCCTCAACACACATGCTCACTGGAGCCTACCTCAGGGATGCCAGCTCTCTGAGCAGGAGGTAATACTCTTGTTTGGTCTTCTTCAAGTTCAAGGTCCTTTGTCCTGCTTGCAAGGAGAGGTGTCCCTCAGAACATGGGACTGTGCCTGTGACACTCGCAAGAACTGAGGTCTCCCCTCTCAGAAGAGTAATGCCCCTTCTTTCTGACGGGGTGGCCAATCCTGGGGCCCCTTGCTCAGCCCCAAAGTACTCCCTCTCAGGGGCCAAGAGCAGAGACCATTGTTTCTTTTCCTCCTTAAGCCAGGCATTAAAAACCAACTTTTCAGGAGACTTTTAGTTGCTTTTTCCCCAAACTCTTATTTCTTGTCTAAAAAGTTGTATATAATCATTGAAGAAAGGAAGGAAGGAAACATGGTTTAAAAGAAGAAAATAAAGGTCACTTGTAATTTCATCACCCAGAGATAACCACTGTTAACACCTTGGTATATAATTTTTCAGAACTTTTTCTGTGTATGTGTAGATATACATATATACTTTAAAATTATAAAGGAGAGTAAAACCCTACATATAATTTTGTAACCTGCTATTTAAAAAAAAAAATGTGATTGCTTTTTTCACCTATCATGCACATATTTTTCATATCATTACATATTGTTCTATAAAATACTTTTTAAATGTTTATATACTATGCCATTGTATAAATGTACTATTTAAGCTGTCCCCTCTTATTAGATATTTTAACAGGGTCTTTTTTGTGTTTGTTTTATTTTTGTATTATAAACGACACCATGACAAACATCTTGATTGCTAAATCTTTGTGCTCATCCTTAGCTATTTTGTGTAAGGTAAATTGCTAGAGGTAGAGTTGCTGAGCCCCATTGTTTTTCTCATTGCTCCCTCCCCATAGCCTCACAGTGGCTGAACACATCCTGTTCTATGCCCAGCTGAAAGGGAAGTCCTGGGACGAGGCCCAGCTAGAGATGGAAGCCATGTTGGAAGACACAGGCCTCCATCACAAGAGGAATGAAGAAGCTCAGGATCTATCAGGTGCTCAGTGTTAGAAAAAGGCAGGGCTACAGATGGCACATCTATCGTTTCTCAATGCATAGGACAGAGAGAGAGAGAGTGTGTGTGTGTGTGTGTGTGTGTGTGTGTGTGTGTGTGTGTGTTTTCTTAGGCTTATAACAGGAGATCTCCAAAGAGTTGGAACACTTCTATAAAGTTCTTTTGAGCATCTAAGAGCAGATCCCTCTGGTTCATTTCCCACATAGAACATTGCAGCCTGGGCTGTATTTGTTCTGATGTTTACGTATGAACTAAAATAGGAGAACAGCCTTCAAAAGGTCTAATCCTAAGATGCAGGGCTTGCCTTTTCTGCATTTTAAAGAAGGTTTGAATGCTGTATAAACATCTAAGTAGGCAACATGGAACCACTGCCAGACTTAAGTTACCCCCCGCCCCCGCACTTATGTTGCCAGCCCTGGGCCTTTCTCATCCTGTCCTCCACAGCCCCTGTGACCCCCGCTCCCACCCATACTTCTAGGTGGCATGCAGAGGAAGCTGTCCGTTGCCATTGCCTTCGTGGGAGATGCCAAAGTGGTTGTTTTGGATGAGCCTACCTCTGGGGTGGACCCTTATTCAAGACGCTCGATCTGGGACCTGCTCCTGAAGTATCGCTCAGGTAATAGCCACTGCTCAGTGCCCTGTGCTCTCATTGAGGCTTTATCTGTGGTTCCCACTTTCTCACACCTGGCATTTTGCAAGTCAGTATAGCAACAGCCATAACTACACTTAAATGGAGCTTTGTCAGTGACTTGAGTGAATCTAAGTTCTAGTGGAAGCTCCCAGAGATTTTTACACAAATATAAGCAGGGTGTCACTGATGGAGCAGTCTACTTCCTATTTTTCTAGAAAGTTCTTTCAACTTGCAGCCCTTTTGCCTGGAACAATGGGTGCAGCTCTAGGTGCAATTCCCCTTTGACTAAATTACCTGTAAACACCTCAAGAAGCTCCATAGCCTTCAGATGACCATTCAGGACCAGGTGTGAGGGCGACGTGCCAGTATTCAGTGCTCCAGAATACTGCTGCAGATAGAAATGTCTCAAAATGAGACATTCCCTTCCCTCTCGTGGCACCGTCCAACCAGAGGGTGCAGATCCAGAAGGGACAGCAGGCAGAGCTGAGTGCGCATAAAGGTGGGAGTGTGGTTCAATCCTGTAGTCCATTTGCCATCTTGGAATCCTCATTAGCATTTTCTTTCCATGACATTTCCATTCTGGTGTAAAGAGCATGTTGGGTGTGTGTGTGTGTGTGTGTGTGTGTGTGTGTGTGTGTGTGTGCGCGCGTGTGTGTATGTATGTATGTATGTATGTATGTATGTGTGTGTGTGTGTGTGCTTTGCAAAGATTATAAGTGCAGTGCTTAGTGATCCAGAGACTATACATATATAGCTCGATAGGTGATGACTGACAATAATAAATATATTTCATATATGGTGACTTATTTGATCAGGGCCTGTGCCTGATGAAAAGATACTGTGTGTGACAGTGCTTTACCGCTTGCAGGATGCTATACGTAGCTAGCCATTGTCCTTATTATTCTAGTACTCTGAACTTTGCTGCAGAATACTCGTTTTTATTTCTTAACTCCTGGTTTTTGAACCCATGTGATGGGGAGGTTGCTGTACATCCTCTCCCATCCAGCCCGGCCCAGGCCTGCCCAGTGACTCCTCTGACTCCTGCCCTTGCAGGCAGGACCATCATCATGTCCACTCATCACATGGACGAGGCCGATCTCCTTGGGGACCGCATCGCCATAATTTCCCAGGGAAGGCTCTACTGCGCAGGCACCCCACTCTTCCTGAAGAATTGTTTTGGCACGGGCTTCTACTTAACCTTGGTGCGCAAAATGAAAAACATCCAGAGCCAGAAAACAGGCTGCAAGGTATACGTCTGCCTAAGGAAAGAGCTCATTCTGGGCGAGCAGG